TAAAATGTTGAACCGGATTGTCATCGTTCCTTTGTGCGAATCTTCTAGTTGGTGATTCAAAAATGGTCGAAGTGATGTTCGAAGTTCTTGGTCTTAAATACTCATATAGAGTAGGTGGGACCACCATTATTTTCTCTTCTCCCATTTTGGATGATGTATAAGATGAAGTATATGATTCTTCTTCTCCAAGATAGAATCTGGAGTCTTCGTCAATTTCCTTCTCCCAGCTCAAAATTAGCTCGAGATGAGTGTTGCTTGAAGTGTCCTCCTCTCCTGAGCTAGATGCCAAGTACTAAAAATCATATAAACGTCTAAGGTCGCATTCGATCAGGTCTTGTTATAGCAACTAATCTCGAACTAATAACTTGTGGTCAAACAAAGACACAACAAAGGTAAAAATCGATGGGTTGAGGTTCTCTATATTTAGTTGGTTTTCAAGATAGGCATAAATAAACAAATCAATAAAGTAAATGATTGGTAATATAGATAGAGAAGATCATTAAATGATACGTAATTGTTAAGAAGTTTCATCTAGATGATTATGCACTCCATCTCATTAATAAAATGCATTGTTGCATCTTCAACTATGATATTCTATCTCTTCCACTAACGCATTCATAATCTTCCTTTCACTTCATGTAAAAAAAGTACAACTAAATAATGCTTTATTTTGCTTCATCTCATTACTTAATCAATCACACAAGGAATTAATTAATAATGATATGTAGCCAATAGCGGATTCAGAATTTTTTTATAGGGGTGTCCTCTTCCAAAAATTAAATTAAAAATTAATTAATTCATAAATCAAAAAATATCCAACTAGTGCAAATATACCATATTAGACAACAATTCTGGAACTGATCGCATATTCGATTTCTAACCATGTTCCTTATGTAACTCAAATTAGATTTGAAAGACTCTTTCAAATCTTGCAGTATACCTATAAAATCAATTCAAATTAAGGATAGCTCGAATGTGTTTAATTGTTATGTTTTGAAAATAATTAGGAATAAAGAACAGTGTTTTTACTATTACATAGTGTTTAAAATAGAACAACAAATGAGTTTTTTTTACGAAGCAACAACAACAACAAATGAGTTGCAACCTAGAGAATATGTTTAATAATAGTAGTGTCCTACTACAACAAATTTGGCCTATTATGACGGGCATATTTGGTCATATTAGATACCTATTTTGTCATATTTGAACTAATATGACAATTGTTTGTCACAAGGTTTTGTCATTTTATCGCCGTCAGGATAGGTCAAATGTGACAAATTTTTGAAACACATTTGTCACATCTGCTTCCGGTATATATGAGGTTCTAGGCTGTTTATTGTGACAAACAGAGATATTATGACTAAACCTTTTGTCATTATCATTGTCATAAATTGGTAATTTTGAAAAATTGTTGGTCATATTAGACGATCATAGTTTTTCATAAAGTATTTTGTGACGATTATAATTTGTCATGAAAGGTTCATAATTTGTCACATGCCTAATATGAAAAAATCTTTTGTTTGTCAGGAAATGTGTATAATGTGACAAACTGAAAATTTATGTCAACATGTTTTGTCATAAATTTGTCATATTACGGACTTTGTACTCTTACATCACATTGTTGTGACTAATTTATTTCGTCATAATTTATGTTTTGACGAATATCCATTTTCATAAGTGCGTCTATGACGAATATATTTTTTCATTTCAGTATATTAGGACGAACGGATTTTGTCATAACTTATAATTGTGACGGGACAATTTTGTCGTAACTGTGTATTATGACAAGTATAGCTCGTCAAGAAAGGTGGTTTAATTGACTTCTGAGTAATATGACGAAGTGAAAATTTGTCATGGACTTTACATAATATGAGAACTTTCCATTGTTGTCAAACAGAGATATTATGACGAAACCTTTTGTCATTATCATTGTCATAAATTGGTAATTTTGAAAAATTGTTGGTCATATTAGACGATCATAGTTTTTCATAAAGTATTTTGTGACGATTATAATTTGTCATGAAAGGTTCATAATTTGTCACATGCCTAATATGAAAAAATCTTTTGTTTGTCAGGAAATGTGTATAATGTGACAAACTGAAAATTTATGTCAACATGTTTTGTCATAAATTTGTCATATTACGGACTTTGTACTCTTACATCACATTGTTGTGACTAATTTATTTCGTCATAATTTATGTTTTGACGAATATCCATTTTCATAAGTGCGTCTATGACGAATATATTTTGTCATTTCAGTATATTAGGACGAACGGATTTTGTCATAACTTATAATTGTGACGGGACAATTTTGTCGTACCTGTGTATTATGACAAGTATAGCTCGTCAAGAAAGGTGGTTTAATTGACTTTTGAGTAATATGACGAAGTGAAAATTTGTCATGGACTTTACATAATATGAGAACTTTCCATTGTTGTCAAACAGAGATATTATGACGAAACCTTTTGTCATTATCATTGTCATAAATTGGTAATTTTGAAAAATTGTTGGTCATATTAGACGATCATAGTTTTTCATAAAGTATTTTGTGACGATTATAATTTGTCATGAAAGGTTCATAATTTGTCACATGCCTAATATGAAAAAATCTTTTTTTTTTGTCAGGAAATGTGTATAATGTGACAAACAGAAAATTTATGTCAACATGTTTTGTCATAAATTTGTCATATTACGGACTTTGTACTCTTACATCACATTGTTGTGACTAATTTATTTCGTCATAATTTATGTTATGACGAATATCCATTTTCATAAGTGCGTCTATGACGAATATATTTTGTCATTTCAGTATATTAGGACGAACGGATTTTGTCATAACTTATAATTGTGACGGGACAATTTTGTCGTAACTGCGTATTATGACAAGTATAGCTCGTCAAGAAAGGTGGTTTAATTGAATTCTGAGTAATATGACGAAGTGAAAATTTGTCATGGACTTTACATAATATGAGAACTTTCCATTGTTGTCACATTTGACCTGCTTCACAAAATCCATAATGCGATAGTGCATTTTGCATTGCGAACTTATCATGGAAATATTTCCAAACATCCAAAACAGTACATCCATTGCCATTCCTATAATTTATTAATGTAAATGAAACTCTTAGGGTATTTCTCTACATATCAAGGGGTTTTGATAAGAGGAATCTATGTCTCCTTATTTAATCACGATAGCTTAGGAATCTCTTTAATCCATCTTAACATAGTTGTTGCTTATAGTTCCTTGAGATATCATCCTCAATATAGGAAGATCGGACTGACACATTGTTGTTTTTGTAACGAGTTCTTGATATTTACTAAGGGGTATTCTCAAGCGGAGTTTTATACGAACTCATTTATACATATTTTGACCCTTATTTCTTGATCACTCCCTTGATCATTTATATATCTTGGAAACACCCTATAATTTGACAATTTTACTTTAGGTTGTTATAGTTCGTCATGTTTCAGGTCCTATCACATGGAGGAAGGCTTGGGAGCATGTTTCGGTGCATTTAGAGGTTGAAAAGGAACTAAAGAGGATTGACCATTGAAACTCGCGACATGACCAATCAAAAGTACGATCGTGATTTCCTAAGAAGAAAACCGTCTATTTCTTATGAAAATCACGGCATGGGCATCATAGAATCCCGGCTGTACTTCTAGGCAAAAATTTCGGAGACAAATCACGGGACTACAAGAAGCACGATCGTGCTTTTCCAGTGGTGAGGTTTTGCTTTTATCCTTGTGAGTTGTGAGACATAAATGAAATGAGAAGTTTATAAGAATCATGAGCGGAGTGACCAAAAGCACGACCATGCTTTTGCCTAGTCGCAGGTGTAAAACGACAATTGTTGGATTTTCACGAGGAACTAAGTTTGACATATGAAATTGAAAGAGGGAGAGCCCTAAAGAGAGAAAGTGACAACAAAATACCCTTTGGATTTGATTTGAGAGATCCTTCCACCATTAGAGCTCGGGATTCGATCCTTTGAGTGACAATTACTGATCCGGAGTAGATTTTTATCGTTATCATGATGTTCTTCTAATTCTCTACTAAATTCCTCTCTTTCTCTATTGAGCATACACCCTTCTCATTTGGGTGTGAGTAATCCTAGTTTTTTATAGTTGGGTTGATGATTGTTTGAGAACCTAGATTGTTTAACTCGACGTTTATATCTAGTTGATACAAATTTGTATAAATTGTCTAAATCCTGATCACATTCTTATGATTATCATTTAACCTAGGAGAGAGAATATCATAATAGGTTAATAGGGAATCTTTAATTGGAAGTAGAGAATTGATTTCTGCTTCTCTGTCCATCTGCGGGGTTTTGCTTCTTCTCTAATGAGATTTCTGTTTCTTTTTCTTTCTATCATTGCGATTTATCTTTCTATCATTGCGGTTTAGTTCTCACATTCTGGTTGGGAATTAACCCATGTGATGAGACAGAGGTTACCCTTGATTATACAGGTGTCGATTATAGGGTTTCTCTCTTTCGATCATTGCGACTTTGTTCTCATTCAGGTTTGGAGATTTATCTGCGATCTCATTCTGGTTGGGAATTAACCTTGTGATTAGACAGGGGTTAGCCTTGATTATACAGGTGTCGATGATTGGGTTCCTCATTATGCAGGTGTCAGCTTAAGGATTAACTAGGAGCATGTGTTGCCTATCGTGCTGGCCTACAATTAGTTGTTCAAAGGTTGCGGCAGGATTACCCGGGTAAGATTTCTTCTCTCTTTTTTGTAGGTTAAGCTTCTGTGGTGTTTTGAGATCGCCTATAAATTGTGGTCGGCATGGGAGTTTTTCTTATATTGTCTCTTTGTGTATTCCTAGGTTGAGTCCCATGTTCTACATGTAGAGATCACATAAGGCTAGAGAAAAGGAGAGATCGCCGTGGGGAAATACGGTGGATTCGTCCAATAAGCAATTGTTACTATTGGGTTCTTGGGGAAATACGGCGGGTCCTTTGAATAAGTTTTACTTTTTTGGGTTCTGAACAAACTATATTATTTCACTGAATCAATCAATGATTGGAGAATGTATATTCTGATATGTGTTGTCTCATTCCGAAACTGATTCCATTTATAGTCGTGATCAGTTTTTGGCTTTTATTGTAATTATGAGAGGAATTTGATGTCAATGTTCTGCCTGCAGGGTACTTTTATTGAGGGGATTTCACATCGTTCGTTTGCAGAAGCCTTGAGTGGCTGTCTCAGCATTGGCTCTGTGTATGTGATTCGAGAGTTTGCAATGTGTGATCCGCAGGCTTCTTTTCGGGCATGCAACTTCCATCAGTATTTGGTGATCACTCCGGCAACAAAACTTGAGGATGTAACCGCAAGTTCAATTGGTTTCACTACCAAATCATTTCAGTTCACTGAATTTAACTCCCTCCCTGCTCGATCTTATCGCTGTCCTTATCTCACAGGTATCTACTGTTTCATGTGGTTTTGAATCATAGGGGGTCTGGTATGTAATAGCTTTATTGATTAATTCAATTTTGGTGTAGATGTTGTTGGACGGTTGGTTTCGATTAGTCAACCTGAATATGTAGAGGTCAAAGGAGGTATTACTACTGTTCAGAAAGTTACCATCAAAGATCATAGGTACATCTGTTCTTGATTATTTATGGGTGTCTACTTCGCTTTAACTCTTTGGTTTTTCTATTTAATTTGCTTACTTTATTTTGTTCCTTATAATTATTTTACTGCAGCGGGACTTGATGCACGGGCCTTGGTTGACCTCGATCGTAATGACGCTGTTGTATTGGCGTTTGGTGGTCTCACTATGACTCAACTCCGTGGTTGGTTTTCCTATTCTTTTCTGTTTGATTTTTTGCGGTGATATGTTGTGCTGTGTTTGATGTATAAGCGTATTGCAGGAGTGGTTAACGAATCTAGCACTTCTAGCACACGTGTAGTTGTCAATCCATTTATTCATGAGGCTGATGCTCTAAAACTACGGTAATGCATGTGGGTTTATGTTTATCTCCTTATATTCAGAATGTTTGATGATCATCTTTGCTATTTTAGTTGTTGATATTGATTTGAATTTTTTCTCAGTTATGCCACTGAGGTTTGTTCAGCAAGGTATATCCCCGTACAATTGAGGAGCTCCACCAAATTCTTGCTTCGGATTATAATCCGGTAAGTTATCTTAATGAACATATGTCAAACACTAACCTACAGTTTAACTTTAATTTACACTTAAGGTCACAAATAACTTTCGCACGCATCTGTTCTTGAAATAGGTTTATTAATTTCTCTAGCGGGCAGAGTTTGCCTTTACCTATCAAATTTTAAATGTTTTGTTTAATCTTACTGTTCTTATCGAGTACTTGGAATGTTATGTTCATGTATATATAGAATAATTCTTGACTCATCTGTAAATATTTGAATTAAATAAGTTATCTATGATTTCTTTACTTTGAGAATTGAGTACATGTATTTCTTTTCTTATTGAGTAACTATTAGTGTTCAATTATCATGTCAATTATCAATGAATGGTATGTTATTTAGGGGGATATGTTACGTATGTTTAATCTTTTATTGAATTGTTTTACTATAGGATATTAGGTTTCGGTGTCTGGTAACTATTCGTGACGTCAAAAAGCATCAACAATGGACGTACTGAGCATGCCTCCGATGTTACAAGTCAGTTGCTAGCACAAACGGGACTTATTGGTGTGCAACCCACTGCCACTCGGCCGACTCCCCCCCTCCCTGGCCCAGCCGAGCTTTTTGTAGGGTTCGTGGTTCCATTTTCACTTTGCAATTTGTTGCATCAGCAGCCAGCCAAGTCAACAGGACTCCCTCTCCCTTCCCCATTCCATTGCGACGCAGGCGCTTCACCAATTTGTAATACAGAAAAAAAACATTTTATTTCTAAAAGGAAGGAGGGAGAGTGTAACAGGGCGGGTCCTCAGAAGAAATAAAGACAAGTTCGGAATAATAGTCAATGGAGAGTTCAAATTATGGTGTACCTTATTGAGATTGATTAACCAAGAGGTCTTTTTTATTTTACTCTTTGCGACAATATTTATTATGCACATGGTATCAGATTTGTGCAAACGGCAAACCCGTATGCATTAGCTTTCATCTAGTTGAACAAAATGTATGAGTTATGACTTCCACTAATCTAATTTAAATTTACATTATTAGGATAAACATCTACACCATTGACAAAAGTGACCAATTTCTTACTACGGATTATGACACATAACGATAAATGTCTGGGACGAAAAAAGTTCTTGTTTTTCAAAGATATTTCGTAGGAATAGCAAGATACGAATATATATAACATTTTCAAGTCAAAATTTAAAAGAAAGAAAAACACGTTGGTCAACAAGTCACTAAACCGACGATAAGAGCGCTTGTTTGCCACGATATGGGCAACCCTATTTTACCTACGAGGCGCGAAGTGAAACGAAACACGCTGGAGAAATGTTCGCAACACCTGAAACTCCATAAGAATGGCCCCTCCCGTAGCGTGGGTCGAATCGCTAGCATTGACCATCCTGATGATCACCTGCGCATAACCCCATACCAGAACATTAGTTATAGAGTGAGCCAGACACCAACTCATAGCATCTCGAAGGGCCATTATATCATAAGACAAGGGTCAAAATTATTAGAACCGCGCGAAGGCAAAGTTTATGGATCCATTGGGGTCGAAGCCTACAAAGCCCACCGCCCTGAATGTCCTCTCATTAATCTCCTATAGATGGTTTAACTAATGAAATATGTCATACAAGATCAATAATAAAATTTCGTACGATTTTGTGCATGCAATGTCACGTGTACGTTCATTAAGAGTTGTTTTGATAGTTGTATTTCAAATATAAGGTATTTGAAATACATATTTTTAAAATGTATGCATTTGAAATACTAGCATTTGAACTACATATAATTCAAATTCGTTGTTTGGATACTCATTTGTATTTTGTTTGTATTTAAATTTCATAATTTTTTATTTGAATTTTGTATTTTTTGGTCACTTACTACAAATTATGGCAAACTATAGTTTGGTACTTAAAATTATTTTTCGTTTCAATTTAGTATCTAAACTTTAAAAAATTTACAAAAACACTAGAAATTTTGATGGTAAAATTACGTTTTGGTACCTTTATATTTTTTTCCTCACACTATAGTACCTAAACTTTTAATATTTTACAAACAGGTCGAATTTTTTTGTTAAGATGTACTTCAAATGTATTTGAAGTTGACAAGTAATATGCTATATATGTATTTGGAAATCACCCCATAGATTTGACACAAATCCAAATACCAATATCAAACACACCCTATAATATTTATGCATGCAGTTAGCCAACAGATAAGTGGAATCTAGCGAGAACCATTATTCTCCGCTAGCCGAAACCGCGCCTGACTTATTTTATGTGGTGATCATCCTCTCTTCTAGTAGACTTTAGCTAGAGCTTTGCAATTTGCTTGCGGGTCGTTTGTTACTCAGTACTCGATCTCCTTTCGTAGAAAATTGAGCAAGTCGCAGCTAGACTTCTATGCTATCATTCTTGTCTTTTTGTTTTTCAAACCGCGTGGGGCCTTAGAAAATAAGGTTCATCCATGTGAGCGAGGAATGACGAGCTAGCCATCTAGTTAATTGTGTTGTAATTGTTAGTGGGTATATGATACACGATTGAACCTCTCACAACAACTCGAGTTATTTGGGATCAACTGATTCTTGACGTGATATCAGAGCCTTATGTGATCGAGAGGTTTTGTGTTCGAATCCCCATAATGCCCCTCTCTCAACAACTCCGTTGGTTCTAATTTAGTGTAGTTTTCATCATGTGTTCTTTATCGCAAATTCCTCCATGTAGTGCAGCAGGTGTCTCAACCTTTAGGAAGAAAAGTATGATTTTCTCCCGTGCATTCAGGTTCGTGGGAGCTGTTTGTCTGTTCTTAACCATATAAAAAAAAGTGTTGAGCTATTTTTATAAAAATAGTATAGTGTTTTTGTCGTATTTTTGGCATAGGCCAGGTTCCAATATACTCCATATTTGTAGACCTACAAAACTTGATACGGACGGTGAGGTTTGTAGAGAGATAAGGAGGAAAAGTAGAGCGTTTAGACTGAATGTCTTGGCGTTTTACATCCTATTAAAAAAATGTAGAAAATTCAAAGTTTTAAGGCTCTATAATATGATATCTATTTTGATATTTTTGGAGCAAAATACATGATATGACAACGGTATGATGTAATCGTCAGTAGTAGTCAGATCAAGGTATGATATATAACGGTGAGATGATAACAACGCAATTAGCCCATTCACATTAGCCGTTCTCATTAGGTGGATGTAGCCCATGAATAGACTTTGATAGCTGACACTAAACCTAAGGATGAAGATGTATATATTCATATGAAAAAGGACTTGGTTTAGCGATAATACAACTGATTTTCAATCTGAAGATTCTAGGTTCGAATCCTTTAAATAGTATCCTAAACCACAAAATAATAAAAGTATACCATCCTTATTAAAAAATATGTATATATTCGTATGTAGCCGTTGGAAGACAACACAAAACACTCAGTAATCACCATGCTAAATCGGATTTTTCCTTTGAGGCATTTTTCTGCATAATTAATGACCTAAGAGGTTCGTTCGATTAGTTCAAATCAACGATCAGCATCAGCAGATGGTCAAAGAGTGAACTCCAGACGATTTGGTTGAAGTTGAAGGCCTCGTAAAATACTGTCCACTTATGGTTGTTGTCGACATGATGCGTGCATAGTTGCTAGCTAAACCGCTGTTTTCATGAGACACTAGCTGTTTTCATGAGACTCTAGTCTTAGATTGAGGACTTTGTCCAAATTTATGCCGCGCCAATACTTCTGAAGATCATAGTTTACTTTCACGATGTAGAAGGTATTGATTGTGAATAAAAGGGCTAATAGTCCAATCTTTCGGACATGATACTATACTTTCACGGGGTACCGCATACCTTGAGTATGAAAACACTATCTAGACCTTGAATTGACCGATCTTTCGGACATGATACTATACTCTAACACTTAAAGATCAAAATCTAGGTGTTAACTCTCCCAATCTTATACTCCAAGATCAATTTAATTAGAAATAATAATCGACGGTTATGATTTATCTAAATATAGGCACAAAAAGGAATGCACCATCTTAGGGTTTATAGATTATGATTTATATAATTAGGACCTAGGGTTCACTCATTAAGGGTTAGGGTATAGTATCAAGCCCAAAAATTCTGCTAATTCGAGGTCTAGATAGAGTTTACATACTCGAGGTATGCGGTACCCCGGATTTCACCCGGGGTACCATAGAAGCCACCATATATATATATATATATATATATATATATATATATATGGTGGCTTCTATGGTACCCCGGGTGAAATCCGGGGTACCGCATACCTCGAGTATGTAAACTCTATCTAGACCTCGAATTAGCAGAATTTTTGGGCTTGATACTATACCCTAACCCTTAATGAGTGAACCCTAGGTCCTAATTATCTAAATCATAAACTATAAACCCTAAGATGAAGCATTCATCTTTTTGCCTATATTTGGACGAATAATAGCCATCGATTCTTGTTTCTAATTAAATTGATCTTGGGGTATAAGATTTAGAGAACTAAGACCTAGATTTTGATCTTTAAGAGTTAGAGTATGACATCATGTCCAAAAGATCAATCAATTCAAGGTCTAGATAGCGTTTTCATACTCAAGGTATGCGGTACCCCAGATTTCACCCTGGGTACCGTAGAACTCACCATATATATATATATATATATATATATATATATATATATATATATATATATATATATATATATATATATATATATACGGTACCCCGGGTGAAATCCGGGGTACCGCATACCTTGAGTATGAAAATGCTATATAGACCTCGAATTAGCAGCATTTTTGGGCATAAACTATAAACCCTAAGATGGTGCATTTATTTTTTTGCCCATATTTGGACGAATCATAACCGTCGATTATTGTTTCTAATTAAATTGATCTTAGAGTATAAGATTTAGAGAAATAAGACCTAGATTTTGATCTTCAAGGGTTAGAGTATAGTATCATGTCAGAAAGATCAGTCAATTCAAGGTCTGGATAGCGTTGACATACTCAAGGTATGCGGTACCCGGGATTTCACCCGGGGTACCGTAGAACTCACCATATATATATATATGGTGACTACTTCGGTGCACTCAAAAAAATGAGTGCGTTCAATGCACCCAACTCAAAAACTAGTATTAAGGTGTCGAATTTTGAATTTTAATTTATAGAATTAGTTTAATATGATGATATAACATATGATAACAACTAATTAGCGGAGTACCCTAACCCCTAGACCTCCAATTTTGAGTTCTATCCCTAAACCCCAAATTGTAAACCCTAACCCTAACCCTAAATCTCTAAACTCTAAATCTTTCAAATTAAAATAAATCTTTAATGGTTTTTGTGCAAATTCATGTGTGTTATTGTTCATGACATCATAAGTGATGATTGACATCATTTTGACATAAATCGCATGTTTAAAATGGCGGTTATGAAGCGAGTGCACTGAATGCACCCAAAAAAGTGAGTGCACCGAAAACGTCACCATATATATACTTGTATGCCCTAGACGCATAGCATACTCCAAGATTGTACACAGTTGATTAAATTACGTTATTAAATCTAATTTAATTTATTATTTATCAATAATTATAGTACCCATTAATAATTAGACATACATTATAGTCCCCCAACAATTTTACCATTAGTTTTACTATTAAAATACCTTGTTTTGTACTTATGTAGGTTTAAGTACCCACATTTTGTTAAAATTTTGTCCATTAAAATTATTTCCATGTTCCAAAAAGGCTAAAACACATCACTACTCCAAACCCACGAAGTACTATTGAAAAGAACTGGCTCCCCGATTCCATTCTGCAGAGTTTCTTTTTATGCCTCATGAGCAATTTAGTCGTTCTGAGCTTGAAACCACTTCTAGGTACGACGATTTCGTTTTCTTATGTCTTGGTCTCGGCGGCGATAGGGAATGGGGAATTCCCGACAAATCTGTTTCCAAATTGGCGGCCAGTTCCATGGTGTTGAAGGGATTTTACTGGATTCATACAAACATTTAGTGCAGACTGAGGGGAAAAATTGATTGCTATTGCTTGGAGGCGTTACAAAATTGGAACGATGATGAATTCGATGCTTAGTTTTTCTTCTCAAGAAGAATCTCCTCAGATTCGCCGGTTCTCCCTGCCTGCCGCCGTCGCAAACCTAGTCACCGTGAAAATCATGATTCCGTGAGCAAAACCAAGAGATGGGAAAATCGACAGCTGATCATCAACAAAGAATTGTGTCGCCAAAGCTATCAAAAACGCTATGGGTTGTAAAAAGGATGCTGCCATTGGAAAGGAAAGTGAAGGGGAGCTTTGCGGTGGTGAAATGCTCGAGCGATCCGAACCACGATTTCAAGTCTTCAATGGTGGAGATGATTATAGAGAAGCAGGTATTCGGGGCACTAGGCTCCTAATATTGTTGTTTTGAGTGCTTGAGATGTAAAAGGAAGTGATATTTCATTGAGTTTTTGTGCTTGGTTTGCTTTTGTGTTTATTGTCTGTTCTTGTATGTTTTTGTTTCATTCGAGAGTTTGATTCATACCAATAAGACTACAGAAGGGAGATTTTGTTTATGGCAAACGACTGTGTTTATACAACGAAACAATGTTCGGTGACTATAATGTAACTAGGATTATTTAATGGCTACAGTTGGCAATTCTAATTATCAATAATTAACCAATTTTATTATAATTAATTATGAACGTTAGATTAAATCAACGGTATAGAAAATCCGGAGCATGCTTTGCGTCTGGAGCATATGAGTATGACCCATATATGGATATATGTTAGCTTCTATGCGTAGATTGAATAATATCTAGGGTACGACATACCATGACTAAGAAAGTGCTATTTAGACCTCGAATTAACCGAATACTTGGACATGATACTATATCACAACCCTTGATGAGTGAACCCTAGATCTTAATTATCTAAATCATAAAGTCTAACCCCTAAGGATTAGGGTTTAGATTTATCATTTAGAGTTTTGGGTTGGCATTCAAAATCGACAGTTAAGGGGTTACGGTAATAGTTTAATTAGTTTTGATTTTATATCTTCATATTAGACTAATACTATCAATTAAAGTTCAAAATTTGATTTATTTTGACCACTTTTAGTATTGGATGCATTGAATGCAAAAAAAAAAAAAAATTGAGTGTACCGAACCGAAGTAGAATATAATCAATTACAAACTTTACCTTTATACCATATATAAATAAATATCCAACACCAATGTCATAAAAGAAAAAATCTAATTGTGAAAATTTCCAAGCAAGAGCAGGTGGGAACATGCATGGCAAGTTGTTATTGATACTCAGTAGTCGACCAACAAGCTTCCAAAAGTTGGCCCTGAAATTCTCTCTACCCTTATGCATACAGTAAATCAAGACAATAATCACAAGTACACAAATACATGCATGATGACTTCATGCCCTTTCTAATACCACCCTTGAATTATCCTTCATTAGAATCTAGTCCTATAAAAACCCCACCCAGGGTTCATTCCCAAACCACCAAATCTCTTCTTCACATAGCTTAAGCGTAGCAAGCCTTTTGCTTAGCAACATTATCAAAACATGTTTTCCCAAACCAGCTCGGCCATGGCTCTCTTCTTAGCTCTCAACCTTCTCTTCTTCTCCATGGCCTCTGCCTGCGGTGGTGGCTGCCCTAATCCGAAACCTACCCCTACAACTCCGCCTACGCCTAGACCAACTCCTCCTACGCCTAAACCAACTCCTCCTAGCCCTACAACTCCTTCCACCCCTAAACCAACTCCTCTTAGCCCTACAACTCCTTCCACCCCTACAACTCCTTCCACCGGCGGCAGCGGGAAGTGCCCGATTGATGCACTCAAGCTGGGCGTTTGTGCCGATGTGCTTGCCAATCTGCTCAATCTGAAGCTCGGGAGCCCACCGGTTCAACCTTGTTGTAGCTTGATCAATGGGCTCGTTGATGTTGAAGCCGCCGTCTGCCTTTGCACCGCCATTAAAGCCAATATCCTCGGGATCAACCTCAACGTTCCAGTCTCTCTGAGCTTGCTTCTCAATGCCTGTAACCAGAAGCTTCCATCTGGCTTCCAATGCCCTTAATTAAGCATCTATTAGTTCTACGACCAAACGTGCTACGTGCATGCATGTATGAGTAGTTTCGGTTTTGCTTCCTTTTTCACGTGACGTTGGTGTCTAATAATAAGTTTTCCAGTATTTTTCGTCTAATTTGTGATCTTGTTGTACCAATAAATCACTTCATATGTATACTCATACGAATGTTCTTATCGGGAAATTAATGAAGATAATATTTCGGTTTTAATTACTTGTCTGTATGCGCTTCTCTTGTTTATCATAATACATCAACAAATCGAATCGTACACATTTTTTTTAAATAAAAATTTCATACGAGAGTTAAGTACTTTAACAAAAATACGACGAATATAGACTTAATCAAGCCTCCATTAACTTAACTGAGTTACTATAAAGTATACATAAAATTAAGCAAATTGGATGCCCGTTGGTGCAAATTGAAAGTTGTTAAATGTGATGTTCAGCATATTGTATCTAGGTAGATCCACACAATAGTTAATGACTTCTAATCCCGTGTCAATCATGAGCACCTATATCCTATAAAATTATCAAACCCTTAAAATCCACTCGGTGAGATTTTTATTTAATTAAAATAAACATTCAAAAAATTTCTAAAAATATAAACACATCTTTAAAAATCCTCATATTAAATTAAAGTCATATCCCTGACCTCCCTCAATTTATAAAATTGTGAAACCTAGGAACAAACACTCACAAAGGCTCTAAACAATTTAAAACATCCTAAATAAGTTTCTGCAAATTTCCAGCAGCTTTAGTGACCACCCAAAATCTGTCACTAAAAGCATGTAACGTCTGTTGCTAAAAACCCAGAATTGCACCCTCACGAAAAATCTCCATATTAATCGACCTAACTCAAAGGGATCGAGTTCCCTTACCTCTAGAATGTGCCTCGGCCTAGGTTGGATGATCCGAGACACTGATCTCCTTGTCGATCAATGATCGAACGCTCAAACGTCACCGCAAATATTAGGGACACAATAGGGATTGGGGCCGGAGGATCGAGGACGGGGACGGGGTTGGGTCTTCTTCTCCCTCTCTTTTTTTTTCCTTTCCGCTCCGCCACGCTGCTTCTCACTCGACACCGAAGAAGACGAGGAGGGTGGGCGCTGCTGGGAAAAGAATTGGACAAAAGATTTGTGATGGGGAATTAATTGGGGGAGGTTTTTTTTTGGGAAAAGGGTTACGTGGGGTGGGGGAAGTAAATGGGAAAATGTTTTTGGGAGGAGTGTGGGACGCCCTGTTAGATTTACATATATATATTGCCATATATATATATATATTGGTGGCTACTTCGGTGCACTCACTTTTTTGGGTGCATTTAGTCACCCACCTCTAAAAATGGTTATAATACATCAAATTTTGAAATTTAATGAGTAGCATCAGTCTCATATGATGATATAACACAGAATCACAACTAATCAACCCATTACCCTAACCTATTAACATTCAATTTTGAATCTAAACCCAAAATCCCAAATTGTAAACCCTAACCCTAACCCCAAATTCCTAAACTCTGAATCATTCAAATTAAAGTGAATCTTGAATGATTTTTGTAAAATTCATGTGGTTCTTGTTCATCATACTACAAGGGATGATTGTCATCGTTTTCACATGAATCATCTGCTCAGAATGACGATTATGAGGCGGGTGCATTGAATGCACCCAAAAAAGTGAGTGCACCGAAGATATAACCTATATATATTATATATATATATATGTATATTAATTATTATTATTATTGTTTTTAATCCGCGATTGCAACTCTTAGTACGTAACTGTCAATCCATCGATTACGTATTAAGATCGAACCCAAACTCAAAGGTCGGAGTGTTACATTATTTATGGTCGAACCTATCATTATTTATGGTCGAACCGAAATCTAATATACCGGGGTGTTACAAAAGTAACAGACGTTCACGTTTCTACAATGGCGCCAAAAAATTTGACTCACTACGACACAATACCAAACTACGACCAAGTATAATCGTACAATGGAAATGTAGAATAGTGGGTAAGTTTTACTTATCAACCCAGGGTCTCGATGTATTGCCTACTGAGTGAAGTGTTCAAAGCAAATTAAACAGATAGCAGTAAATGTTATTGTTTTCAAAGTTAAGAAGGAACCACTTAGGTAATGATTCCCCCTAGTCTGCAGTTAAGTCGAGTTGTAATTCACCCGATCCAATTTTATTCAGATTTATACTGCGGAAGATCCGGACCTAGCTTGGAATCTCTTAAGCTGACCAAGTCCTCTAAGACACGTTACCCGGCAGGCAACTAACCTTTCCCGAGATAAAGTGCTAAGGCAATGAAAACACATCTCCTCTATTGGAATGATTCCCAGTATAGAGCAATGCATCGATTGACTCTCGCATAATCGATTCACCACTTCCAGATCAAGATGCTATATTGACCTATTCAGACCCTATCGTTCTATGTCAAAGCTGGAAACATACAAGTGTGGTCAAGACTCATAGATTTATGAATAAAACTTCAATTGGATATATAATCATCAATGTATTGAAAAGGGGTTCATACAAGTGCTCCTAACAAGCAAAAATAGAGTTCTTCCTATCCAAGTGGTAAAGGGGATTACTCCATAGAGAGAGAGGGAGGAAAGCCATGTTGGATGTAGAAATCATCATGTATAAGGAAGAACTATTCTCCGGGTCGTCAATCGTCACTCCTCGAGGCTTGAATCGAGCTCCAATGGTTACTACCCGCCGTTCACACTGATTTTTCATCCCCAGTTCTATCTAGAAAGGCTACTTATGGCAGGGGTTTGGTCGCCTCGAACACCAAAGGTCCCTATTCATACATATAACCTCGATTTGCTTGATGGCACATACCCGTCTAACTCTAAAACTCCAAACCCAACGTATAAGCATAAAGTAGGCTAGTAGAGAAGATTAGAGTGACTTACCCAAACACAATCAAAGATAGAATAGCAATAGAATCTACTAGACAAATACATTAATTCATTCAAACCCTAAAATATCATACATACATAGTAAACCCTAAAACTAGGGTTTGGGGTTTAGAACCCCTAGTACCTTAGAGGACTACTCCATAAAGGAGGGAAGAAGATACATAGAAGAAATTGAAGAAGTATTGAGGTTGAGGAAGATGTTTCCTCTCTTCTAGCTCCTTATCGTTCTTCTCCTCTTCTCCTTCCTTCGGCTTTTCTCTCTCTAAAACCATAAATTCTATCTCAAAATCATCTCTCTAAATGAGGGGGAAGGGGTCTTCTATTTATAGGCATCACAGGATGGAGAAGTTCGCGGCCACATAGGGTCAAGATCGCGGGTGGGATCTTCAATGGCGAGGTCGCGATCTTGCGATGATGCCATTTCAGCCTTTGGGGACGAGGAGATTGTGGGCTGACTTTGCAGTCGCGATCCATGATTCGCGGCCGTGATCTTCCTCGAGGTCAATTTACACTGTGGTCGTGATCCAATCGAGGAAACTCTCTGTTTCTCCATGGATCCTTCTTCACAAAGTTCACTCACTTCGCGGTCTTGGGCTTCCATGTCGTGATCTTCAGCTTGACTTCGCGGTCCATTATCTCGACCGTGATCTTCACTTCTAGGCCACAATCTTTAGTCTTCTACCCCCTTGCTACACTTGTGACCTTGTTTTGTACCTAATTCGCATGTATCATCTAAAACATCCTAAAATCACATCGAATTCAAATAGGAATGAAATAGGGATGCAATTGACGATGTTCAAGCAAATATGCACATGAATTGGCATGAAACAAACCTTAATATGAAGGGTAAATAACACCAATTTAGGTGTTATCATTTGGCAAAGTACTTTTGTAATTGCTCTTATGTGAATCCATAATGGGGGCATGCATTTAGATGCCTTTGGAATAATTACCTACAAGCATAATAGAATGTCTCTTCATCCTTCTGTTGGGATGGAGTGATTTGATCTTTGATGGCAACTCAAGTGGGTTTCCAATGAATGCTTCAGATAGGGTTTGCAAAGTGCTTGATTTGATCTTTGAATATCCTAGTAAATGCTTTGCCTTTCCCATAAATGAGAAAGAGAAGACTCTTAGTTGAATGGCATATCGAGTGGCTTCAACTCATGGAAAAATATCTACGATCTCTAAGAAAGTTTTAAAATGTTGAACCGGATTGTCATCGTTCCTTCGTGCTAATCTTCTAGCTTATTCTACCATCTGCATGAATGATGTGCGGATTTCTATGGTAGTTGGTGATTCGAAAATGGTCGAAGTGATGTTCGAAGTTCTTGGTCTTAAATACTCATATAGAGTAGGTGGGACCACCATTATTTTCTCTTCTCCCATTTTGGATGATGTAGAAGATGAAGTATATGATTCTTCTTCTCCAAGATAGAATCTGGAGTCTTCGTCAATTTCCTTCTCCCAGCTCAAAATTAGCTCGAGATGAGTGTTGCTTGAAGTGTCCTCCTCTCCTGAGCTAGATGCTCATTCCTTCGATCTCAACAAGGGTGAACTCGATGTTCTCCTTCTTTGAAGATCTCAATCACGATCTTTTGGTTTTCTGTTTCTCTTCTAGTAGACATTAGACTCATAAAAAAATCCTACAAAAAAAAATCCAAAGATAACAAAGAGATATAAGATGGTTAGTTACTTTCATATACGATTAGAAATCCATGGCAATGGCACCAAAAACTTGATGTGCAATATGCATACACAAAATATGCAGTAGAGTTGCCAAGTACTAAAAATCATATAAACGCCTAAGGTCGCATTCGATCAGGTCTTGTTATAAGAAAAAAATCTCAAACTAATAACTTGTGGTCAAACAAAGACACAACAAAGGTAAAAATCGATGGTTTGAGGTTCCCTATATTTAGTTGGTTTTCAAGATAGGCATAAATAAACAAATCAATAAAGTAAATGATTGGTAATATAGATAGAGAAGATCATTAAATGGTACGTAATGGTTAAGAAGTTTTATCTAGATGATTATGCACTCCATCTCATTAATAAA